TCAGCCGAGCTCCAGTGCCAGGGTGCCCCCTCATAACGACAACAGGGGTGAGGGAGGAGCCGCCATTATGGGGCAAGCCGTGAGGCGCAAGCAGTCACCCCCTGAATAAATGGGGATAAACTGAGGAAAAAACCCACAGATGTCAAAAACCCACAAACACCCCAAGTGACGAGGGACCCTGCCAGCCCCCATGGCGCTGCCATCCCTGTCATGCCCTGAGGAGAAACCCCGCCACAGGGGTGCCCCGCAGCCACCAGGCCTCCATGGTGGCGGGCATGGGCAGAGCGGGACAGGGCCTGCTGTCACCGGTGTCCCCAGGCTGTGGGGACATGGGGACCTCTTGCTCCTGGGGGAAACGTGCAATGGCCCCTGGTGAATTAGCAGCCACCTCTCCAGCGGTCAGGCTGCCAGCATGGCCATGCCACACATGAGTCAGTTCCTCACGAGGTGCCTCAGTTTCCCCATTTGCAAAGGGCAGGGCGATGGCGGGAGGGGAGCTGGGCGTCCCTCGGGGTACCTCAGGCATTTGGGGTCATCTGGAAAGGGATAATTATCACCCCCAGCTGAGCCTCCTGGCTAGGGTGGACACGCAGGGCTCTTGCCATCCCCTCGGGCTTGGTGCCTGGCTTGGCAGGATCATGGCTCCTACTGAGCCCTCAGGGAGAAGCTTGGAGAGCCTTTCGGGAGGCAGGAGGGTCAGGAGCACTCAAAAAAGGGAAGAAAAATTAAAAAGCAGGTTCATTTCTATAAACCGAGCCTGTTTTGGGAGGCCGGGGCTGACGGCAGAGGGCGGCACAGGCTCATTGCTGGCGCCTCGCAGCAGGGCCTGGCACCTGGGTGCTTTGCCCTGACCCAACCTGTTATTGCTCTTTCCCCCTCCATCAGCTGTACTCTCGAGGTACAAGGAGATATTTTGGGGGGGCAGAGTGAGCCCAAGACCGTGGCAGTGAGCCCTGGATCTCTGTCAGCGAGCCCAGGACGTCCGACAGCTTTCCATTCTGAAATGAAAGCTGAGAGAGAAGAATCAGTTCCTTTTCCCATCCCGAAGCTAAAGCGGAGAAGAGAAACTTAAGAGCTGGCAAAAATAGAGCTTTTCGAGATACCCGGTTGCAGAGAGATCGCTGCCCTCCTGATCAGGACATGCTGTGTTGGACTAGGAAATTTCCAGAAAGGAGCTGGTCCCAACAGGGAGACCTCCAGGGTGGAAACGCCGCTCCTTCCACCCCGAGTTAAAACCCCATGGGCTACAAGGTGCAACAAACAGGGTTATCGCAAATCGCTTCATCCTGTAACACAACTGCAAACTCTGAGAAATGGAAACCATCCCGCATCAGAATGGGAGCCCTCGGTGTCAGCGGGAGGCTGAGCACGCCGGAGCGTCTGTCCATCTGTCCTAGAGTCACGTTCGGCATCCGCGCATCCCTGCAAAGCCTCCTTCGGATGCCTGCCATCCCCTCTGTCTAGGAAGGGTGGGTTGGCTTTACTGTTCCCTCTCAGCCTGAGGGATAGATCCTCCTTGGAGGAGTTTTCCCTCCCGCTGTTTCACAGCAGTTCACACATCATCTTCTTGTGCTTCATTTACTGACTTTATCTAAAACTTTGTTTGGAAACACCCTGCTAGAGAGGCAGGAGAGTGACCCCTCCGCCCTGGCAAGGGAAGGTGGCTCATTGTCTCTGCTCTGCCCACACCCTGCTCCTCTCCCCCAAAAGAAAGAAAATCCACCCGGAGGGGGAAAGGACCAAAATCCAAGTCCTCAGCATCCACGGCCGTGCTTCGATGGCCATCAGGTCTCAGCTGGTGACGGCAGGAGCCAACCTGGGCCAAACTGAGCCAAATCTGTGTGCTTTGGGCAGGATCTACATGCACCCATGCATCTGTGCAGCCTTGCACACACAGAAGGATGCTACAGCGAGCGATTGGCGTACCGATGGCATACGAGGCCGCGTGCGTGTGCCGGGGGGCCCAGCCCTGCCTGCCCATTTTGGCGGGGGGAAGATGAAGAATTTGGGCAGGGGTTGACCTGAAGTGACATTTCACCGCTTCTGTTTTTCTCACAGCTTTCGCAGCGGGGTGAGATCTCCGTCCCCGCAGCCCGCTCGCTCTTCAAATGCACACACGTGTGCCTGTGTGTCATTTCAGGTTAACTGAGGCGGCTGCTTCAATTCGAAACAGAAGCTGTTGTTTCATTTTTCAGGTCGTTTAACCCCCTCCTATCTGCAATAAACACAGTGATTAAGGACACAGAAATAAAACTCTGGAGGAAGGGGACCAAAAGCTTGGAAAAGGATGAAAGGAACGGTCTGATTACCCCTTTTAAAAATGTTTATTTAGCTGAAGCTGCTAAATTTGACTCAACTTTACACACGGGAAAGGTTTTGCGGTTTGGTTTTTTTTACAGTGAATAAAGTGTTTTTTTCCTCATAAAACCCCCCACCAACTCTTGAGCCGAGCGATGCAGTTTCGATGTGTCACGGAGGCAGGTTTAGCGCAGATCCCACTCTCGGGAAGGTCGATGTAAACCCCAAAACATGAGACTTTGGTCTTGAACGGGGCCCCAGGTGCCTGAAACCAGCACCTGCCCCCCGTCGCTGTCACAGCACCAGGCGGGTTTCGGAGGAGCTCTGGGAAAGGACGTGTTTCACCCCGGTTTCATGCTAAGAGGGGTGCAGGGCTTTGGTCTCAGTTCCTAGGGGACAAAACCCCCTGCCCAGGGGACGCAGGGACATCGGAGGTGTGAAGCTGGGAGCTCCTCTGCGGCCGATCCCAGCCTGAGGAGGGATAGGGCAGGGAAGCCCAAGCTCCACCACAAAAGATCTCCAGCGAGTTGGGGCACCGTGCCTCAGTTTCCCCACATGCCCTGTGGAGATAATGCTATTACCACACCGGCCATCGGCAAAAAGCGTTCGGAGACTGACTTCCACAAGGATTCATTACTGGGGAGCTGGAGCCGTGGGACACCTGGTTTGCTGATAAATCACCTCGTCCTAAGGCGGGTGTTTAAAATAGCTCCTGTGACTCACGGGTGCCGAGAAGGGCCAAAGGGTTTCAGACGCCGCCTCGGGGGCAGCTGGATGTTTTCCTTGAGATGGGGATACGAAGCGAGATGCCACCTCCCAGTCTTCTGCTCTTTGGGTCCGAGCGGCGAGCCTGGCCCCTGGGCGGCTTTTCTCCTCCGTGCTCAACCACGTTTTTCCAGCCATGTCAGAAGTTTGGCTGTTGCTCATCTTCCATTCCCAGAAAGGGATGTGGAAAATAGAAACGTCCCTTTTGCTGTGGCTCCAGGCTCCCCTGGCCCAGTCCTTTCTGCATGGCCAAGCACTTTAGCTGGGGATGGATCTGGACAGGAAAGCCACAGGTGTGATGAGTGCTGGCACTTTGCAAATCCTCGGTCATCCATGGGACTCCAGCGCTCCCAGAATGGAAGGTCCAACAGCCTGAAATCTCATCCTAGTCCCACTTCCTCCTGTTTTGCCTGCTTTCTGAATTGCGGGTACTTCCCCTGCTGACAGTGGGGAGCAAGAAAAAGTTGTGAAAGGGAGGTGGGAGAGCAACGCTGGCTCCGAATCACTTCCCACTGGGTAACTCCTGCGGCTTTGTCCTCTCCTGTCACAGCTGACGGCCTCAAAGGCAGTGAACATCCCCCCACCAAGGAGAAACGAGGGGTGAAAAGGGTTTTTCCTCTCCTCCAGCCCCCGCATGCAGTCCCCGTGCCACGACGCAATGGTGATGGGTGTCCTGGAGGGAAGCAATGGGCAGCTGATGCTGCAGCTGCCCATCTAAGAGTCTCCCACCACATCCACCGTGGTTCTTTTCCCCCTGGCAGAGGTCTGGGACACGAATCTGGCAGCTCTCAGCCAGGTGAAGGTATTACTGCACCAGAAGGCTGGTGCCCGGGGGATCAAACATGCACCGATCCTGTTCCAACACCCAAACCTTGGATGTTGCCACTGGCTGCAGAAGGACACGACAGTACCCAGGCAGCAGGATCTTGCCAGGGGACACGATAGCACCATTCCTCTCCTGCAGCACAAGCCCAGAGGGGGCAAAATCATCAGCAACAGGCGGAAACAAAGTGACTATCAGCACCCCAGTCCCGCGCCGGACCTGCTCGGCCTTTCTGTGGCGAGTTTTCTAAGAAACACCGCAGCAGTTAGTGAGCGTTTACGGGAAGGGTGGGCCAAGCTCAGCCTGCAGCCGGGACAGCCGCGATAGCGTTTCGGTGGTGCCGGAAGGGGGGGGACAGTGGCCACCCGAGGGGCTCAGACTCTTTGCGGTAGCAGGCGACGTGGAAGAGAGGTTTGCTTTCGTGTAAGAGCAGCTTCCCGGATGGGCCGGGGGAAAAGCAAGAGAGGAGGTTAAATACAAACCACATCTCAAAATAGGCCTCAACTTTGAAGGCGTTTGGAGCTGCGCTTCCTGCTTCTAGCAGCCCCAAGGAGGAGATGAAAGATGCAGCTGAGTAAAAAAAATAAAAAAAAAAAGAAAAACAAACAAACCGACAGAGTTAACACTTTCTGCTGAAGGCAGAGGCACAGCCGTGACACAGCACACCAGGTCACCCATGGAGGCTGGGATGTGGCTCCAGGACTCCTGGTTCCCTCTGACAGCAGCCCCACAGCTCACAGCAGTACTGCAAGCCCAGGGTGTGTGGGGGACAAGTGGGACACCCCAGGCAAGGGGTTTTGAAGCAAGAAAGCCCTGGGGGAGGCCAAGGAAAGGGCCACCCTGTTCTGCATCAGATCTGGCCAGGGGACTTGCAAAGTAACCTGCAGAAAGGCAAACGTGCCCCTTTCCTTGGAGCCGGAGACACAGCCTTGCGTGCACACAGCAGCAGGTGCTCCATGAGGTCAAGCAGGAACAGAGCTTCAAAATTCAGCACATGAAATAAAAAATAAAAAAAAAATCCCAAGAAAAACAAAAAAAAACCATAAACCAAAAAAACAACACCCCTGAAGGTGAAGCGCTGCAGAGCTGGGAAGTGGGGTTTGACAGTTTGGAGGGTAAAAGCTTGAGCAAAGCGTTACCGCTGCTGACTGATAGCGACCGACTTCTCGTAATCCGAAGATCGACTTCCTCTCGCTCCGCGTTTGCCGCAGCCGAGCTGGAGGTGGGGACAGCCCACCGGCGGCTTTCTTCACCCACCGGCACCCGGCATGCAACACCCGCTCCGCGCCAACAGAGCCGGAGCAACAGGATCTGCCTTACCAAAATTTAATTTGGCTGACAACATCCGGCGTTTCGTAAGGTTGCTTTGATCTTTGTTTACTCGCCATCCCCAGCACATGCTCCGCACCAGCCTGAGGATGAATGGAAACGAAAAGGGCTCCACACCCCTTTGATCTCTCCCAGGAGAAGCTGGCACTGGAAACACCCCGCCAAGGGCCGGATCCAGCCTTCCCCATGGTGCTTTCGGCTGGCTGGTCCTGGTTAATGCCGCTCAGCAAACCTCTGGGATGGGACCTTGGGAGTTAAGTCTCGGCTGGAGACAAACCAGCGGTCCCCAGGGTTAGACACGGAGCGGTCACCGATACCCAGCATGCTCCCAGCATCCTTCATCCCGTCCCGCAACAAAGGGATGTCTCCATCACATCAAGTGGTTTGTTTTTATTTAAAACCGCATAAAAAAAATAAGATTTCTTGAATTCCCCTGTACAATATTAACTATTAACAAAAAAAACCCGCCGGCTACACACTTGGTTACATGTAAAGACTTGACAGCGCGGACAGCCCGGGCCGGCTCCCCCCTCCCCAGCCCCAGACAAGACACCCATGGGGGAAAAAAAACCAAAACTCATCTGCAAACTGAGATCTGCACGTGGCAGGGAAACAACAGCAACCAGAACTATGTACACAGGCAGCTGGGGAACAGGCAGCCGCTCCGCACCTCCGCCAGACATCCGACAGAAACGCTACGGACCCGGGGATGGACACAGGACAGACACGGAGGGGAAGACCCGAATGGAAAACCGGGGGATCAGCAGCTGTAGAAGCAAGGCATGGGTTGGAAACCCACGCGAATTATAAATAAATAAATAAGTTACCCTACCGGCTAGAACTCTTCCTTTAAAAAACAACAAATTCATGAAAATAAATTAAAAAAATAAAAAACCTGGGAGGGAAAAAAAAAAAAAAAAACAAACCAAAAAAGGTAAAATGTTATCACTATTAACAACTGTACATCAAGCTTTGCTCCTGTATAACTTTGTACACATTTACAGCTCTGTTGGTTTGCATTGTTTGTGCATTCGTGAGGGCACAGGGAAGCAAAGAACCCCAGAAAATCCACGTGGGGTGGAGGCACGGGAGGCGAGGCATCGCCCGGCTTGGCTCCCAAGCGTCTTCTGACCTGTTTTCTTTTTGAAAAGGGAAAAGGAACTCTATACCCAGGCGAGTCTTGGAAAAGCAGCAGTGTAGGAAAATTCAAGTATTTCCTCCAGCACAGCCCAGATCGCAACTGAAGGCACTGGAGCACGGTGACAGCGGAGAAGAGACAGCCATTCGGCCGCGGTACCTGCCCTCCCCCCCAGACTTCCCCCGTTGAAGCTTTTCTCGCAGTAAGGTCTCTGTCTTCTCGCAGTCCCGAATTCAGCAGGTCAGGAAGACACTTGGGAGACTCCAAAACCAGAACCAAAACCAAAAAAAAAAAAAAAACCCCAAATACTGGCAAAACATCAAATGAGACAGGGTCATTCAGATGGAGTCCAGGACAGCTGGGTTGGATGGTGGCCACCAGCGCTTGGAAGACCAGGTCTCCAGCCCAGCTCCAGGACAAGATGTGCGTGTTCCCATCTGATGATTCCTGCTCAGCGCTATGGCCACGAGGAGAAAAAAAAAAAAAAAAAAAAAAAAAGAAAAAAAAAGTCTGGTTTTCTTTGCTTCTTATGGCCAGGAGATGCGTGGAGGTGTTACTTGCCAGGCTCCTGGATCAAACTGTGCAGGTGGATCTCTCCTGTCTCCTGAGGCAGGTGAATGCCTTGCAGCCAAGAATGGTTGAAAATGTCTTCCAAAGATGGCCTGTCTGAGGGGCGCATGGACAAACACCACTTGATGAGGTGCTGGCACTCTGGGGAGAGAAACCAGAAACCGACGGTCAGTCAGAGAAGGCTCCTGTCCACCTTGTACCTCCATCCGCAGATGCTCAGAGCTGCACCCAAACTCCATTATCCATTTTGGAGAAGAGCAGGATGGCAGGACATGTGCCACCTCCTCCAGCTACCCATGGGAGACCAACCTCCTCTTGTGCCACCTCCTCCAGAGCCCTAAGAACGGGATCCTCGTCTGCCCGCTGCCACCTCCCAAAACTCCATTGTCCCCTGGGCCGCGAAGCCCGGTACTCACCTACAGAGACCCGCCGTCGGAAGAAGAGCTGACCCTGGATGATGTCCTCGTCCTGCTCGAAGGGGACGTCCCCACAGACCATGTCGTAGAGCAGAACGCCCAGGGACCAGATCGTCGCTGAACGGCCGTGGTAGCGGTGGTAACGGATCCACTCTGGTGGGCTGTACACCCGCGTTCCTATGGGATACAGGCGGAGCTCGTCAGGCGGATGCTGCCCGCTCCTGGATCCCTGCCTGAGCATCCCTTGGGCTGCACTGGTGACCGGGGGACACGCACAGCGTGACCTGCCACCCCCCTGCCAGCACGTGACTCTTGTTTACAAACTTTGGGTTGTAAAAAAAAGCCGCTGGCGCCGGAAGAGGGCAGCACGGGCCTGGGGAAGGCCCAACCGTTACATGCAAAAAATAAAACCCACGGGTGGAGAAAAACCACGCCTTTCCCCCACCCTGCCTTGGCCAAAAAGAAAAAAAAAAAGCCAGGGCAAACAAGGGGAGAGGAACAGCCCAAACCCTTCCATGCCTGCAAACCAAACTGGCCGACGCATGGGCTTTGCAGGCCCCCCCCTCTACCCCCCGCAACCCCCACGGGTGTTTGTTTTTGTCAGGCTGGCTCCTCCCGCCCCAGCCTGGGGCAGGGTGGGTGGTGGAG